AATCCTTGGTTTACATTTAGTAGTGTTGAATCCTTGGTTTACATTTAGTAGTGTTTAATCACTGTTGAATCCTTGGTTTACATTTGTAGTGTTTAACCACTGTTGAATCCTTGGTTTACATTTGTAGTGTTTAACCACTGTTGAATCCTTGGTTTACACTTAGTAGTGTTTAACCACTGTTGAATTCTTGGTTTACATTTAGCAGTGTTGAACCACTGTTGAATCCTTTGTTTACATTTAGTAGTGTTTAACCACTGTTGAATCCTTGGTTTACATTCAGTAGTGCTTAACCTTTGTTGAATCCTTGGTTTACATTTAGTGGTGTTTAGCCATTGTTGAATCCTTGGTTTACATTTAGTAGTGTTTAACCACTGTTGAATCCTTTGTTTACATTTAGCAATGTTTAACAGCTGTTGAATCCTTGGTTTACATTTAGTAGTGTTTAACCACTGTTGAATCCTTGGTTTACATTTAGTGGTGTTTAGCTGTTGTTGAATCCTTGGTTTACATTTAGTAGAGTTTAACCACTGTTGAATCCTTGGTTTACATTTAGTGGTGTTTAGCCATTGTTGAATCCTCGGTTTACATTTAGTAGTGTTTAGCCGTTGTTGAATCCTTGGTTTACATTTACAAATGTTTAACAGCTGTTGAATCCTTGGTTTACATTTAGTAGTGTTTTACCTCTGTGTAATCCTTGGTTTAAATTTAGTAGTGTTTAACCTCTGTTGAATCGTTGGTTTACATTTAGTAGTGTTTAGCCGTTGTTGAATCCTTGGTTTACATTTAGTAGTGTTTAAGCCGTTGTTGAATCCTTGGTTTACATTTAGTAGTGTTCAGCTGTTGTTGAATCCTTGGTTTACATTTAGTAGTGTTTAGCCGTTGTTGAATCCTTGGTTTACATTTAGTAGTGTTTAACCACTGTTGAATCCTTGGTTTACATTTAGTAATGTTTAACAGCTGTTGAATCCTTGGTTTACATTTAGTAGTGTTTTACCTCTGTGTAATCCTTGGTTTACATTTAGTAGTGTTTAACCTCTGTTGAATCCTTGGTTTACATTTAGTAGTGTTTACCCACTGTTGAATCATTGGTTTACATTTAGTAGTGTTTAACCACTGTTGAATCCTTTGTTTACATTTAGTAGTGTTTAACCACTGTTAAATCATTGGTTTTCATTTAGTAATGTTTAACCACTGTTGAATCCTTGGTTTACATTTAGTAGTGTTTAACCATTGTTGAATCCTTGGTTTACATTTAGTAGTGTTTAACCACTGTTGAATCATTGGTTTACATTTAGTAGTGTTTAACCACTTTTGAATCCTTGGTTTACATTTAGTAGTGTTTAACCACTGTTGAATCCTTGGTTTACATTTAGTAGTGTTTAACCACTGTTGAATCCTTAGTTTACATTTAGTAGTGTTTAACCACTGTTGAATCATTGGTTTACATTTAGTAGTGTTTAACCACTGTTGAATCCTTGGTTTACATTCAGTAGTGTTTAACCACTGTTGAATCATTGGTTTACATTTAGTAGTGTTTAACCACTGTTAAATCATTGGTTTTCATTTAGTAGTGTTTAACCACTGTTGAATTAGATTCATTTATTATGAAGTAATGGTATTATTTGTTGCATGAACAAGTGTGATTACATTAGTGCAACTATATCAATCACAGTTTGTAGTTTAGCAGTATAAAGCCTAGAGAATAGCTAGAAACCAAAATATACATCATCGTTTTGCTCATAGTTTATGGATATTAATTTATTTACCCAATTTGGGCCATATTGCATGGTTTTCTTCACTTTGAAGGCTTTTGACTGTCTAATTATGCATGCTCTAGTATAACATGTGGCTAATGAATGATATAAATAATCTTTTACACTAAGTCAAGATTAACATCTATTAAGTCATAGAATCAATTTCAGTGTAAAGTTTCTTAAGTTTTATACATAATGATGTGGACTTCTTGTTTTATTAATATATATATATATATATATTAAACAGATTTTGAATAATTTGATTGGGTTTAATATGTTTATAATTCCCATAAACCCTTACAGCCACTGATTAACCAGAAGGAGACAGTCCTTCGAACACGAAGCTTGTGCATTGCAAGGCATATTCTAGAATCATCTAACATATTCATCTTAATCCCAGTGTTCTGTGTGCTATTATTGGCATTTAACTTATAGATCTAGATGTGTATTTTTAAGTATCTTAATACAGATTTTATGCAAGGTACATCTTATTTACAAACCAGTAGTCTTTCTTTGCTTCAGTTCTATTCAAAATGCAGTGTTTCCCTGTTAAATAGATGGAAAATTATTGTTCTGTAATGTGGGTTTTAAAAACATTAATAAGTTCCTTAAATTCAAAAATAATTTGTGTGACATTACCCTTTGCACATGGGCACCATGTTCTGGTCATTTTTTTCTAGAGAATTGGAGAGTATCACTAGGCTATGCTTACATCTTGTTTAATTACTGCAGTTTTAATGTACCTATGTTTGTATGTGTGTTTGTATTTCGTCATCTTAATAATACAAAGAAACCAAATTTTATCGTTTGATCTAATTTTGTTCAACAATCTTTCATATACTTTGAGTTTATAATAGTTCATATCAAATCATGCTAATATGTGATTTTTATAACCATGTAGCTACAAGATTGGTGGGTTATGAGTTCTTAACTGTGTGAACTTTATGACAGTGTAGCTGCAGTACTGGTGGGTTAACTGTTATGGAATGTGTGATTTTTATGACAATGTAACTAAAAGATTAGTGAGTTATGTGTAATTTGTTCAAATTTGTAATTTTTATGACAATTCAAATGAAAGATTAATCAGTAATGGATTGTGAAGTATTATGGGATATTTTATGATAATGTAATTAAGAGGAAAGATTGGTAAGTTATATGTGTTGTCAACCATGTGACATCTGTGACAATGTAAGAAAATTGGTAGGTTATCTGTTGTATAAAATGATAGATATTTTCAAATTCAATACTCTGCAAATTTGTGAAAATTACTAATGTTTACCAAACTAATAAGTGTTTTCATCTTTCCACCATACAGGATTTTGTAGAAAAAAGAAATATATTTCAAGAGTTTGAACAATCTTACGCAGTTTTACAGAATGCAGCTGAAACTTGTCAAAGAACTGGAACAGCTGGTTAGTTTATAGCAGTTACTTGTTGTTACTTTGAAGACTATGTAATACATTCATAATAGTTGTTGTTACTCATAATTATTAGTACGTATAAGGTTGTGTAAGACATTGACTAAAATGGTTTGTTAGTACGTATAAGATTGTGTAAGACATTGACCATAATGGTTATTAGTACGTATAAGGTTGTGTAAGACATTGACCATAATGGTTATTAGTACATATAAGGTTGTGTAAGACATTGACTAAAATGATTATTAGTACATATAAGGTTGTGTAAAACATTGACTAAAATGGTTTGTTAGTACGTATAAGGTTGTGTAAGACATTGACCATAATGGTTATTAGTACGTATAAGGTTGTGTAAGACATTGACCATAATGGTTATTAGTACGTATAAGGTTGTGTAAGACATTGACTAAAATGGTTATTAGTATGTATAAGGTTGGGTAAGACATTGACCATAATGGTTATTAGTACGTATAAGGTTGTGTAAGATATTGACCATAATGGTTATTAGTACATATAAGATTGTGTAAGACACTGACTATAATGGTTTATTAGTATGCATAAGGTTGTGTAAGACATTGACCATAATGGTTATTAGTACGTATAAGGTTGTGTAAGACATTAACTATAATGGTTTATTCGTACGTATAAGATTGTGTAAGACATTGACCATAATGGTTATTAGTACGTATAAAGTTGTGTAAGATATTGACCATAATGATTTTTTAGTACGTATAAGATTGTGTAAGATATTGACCATAATGGTTGTAAATATCTATAAGGTTGTGTAAGACATTGACCATAATGGTTATTAGTACGTATAAGATTGTGTAAGACATTGACCATAATGGTTATTAGTACGTATAAGGTTGTGTAAGACATTAACTATAATGGTTATTAGTACGTATAAGATTGTGTAAGACATTGACTATAATGGTTTATTAGTACGTAGAAGATTGTGTAAGACATGGACTATAATGGTTATTAGTACGTGTATGATTGTGTAAGACATTGACTGTAATGGTTATTAGTACGTGTAAGATTGTGTAAGACATTGACTGTAATGGTTATTAGTACGTATAAGGTTGTGTAAGATACTGAACATAATGGTTATCAGTACATATAAGGTTGTGTAAGACATTGACCATGATGGTTATTAGTACATATAAGGTTGTGTAAGACATTGACCATGATGGTTATTAGTACATATAAGGTTGTGTAAGACATTGACTATAATGATTTATTAGTACGTATAAGATTGTTTAAGACACTGAACATAATGGTTATTAGTACGTATAAGGTTGTGTAAGACATTGACTGTAATGGTTATTAGTACGTATAAGATTGTGTAAGACACTGAACATAATGGTTATTAGTACGTATAAGGTTGTGTAAGACATTGACTGTAATGGTTATTAGTACGTATAAGATTGTGTAAGACACTGAACATAATGGTTATTAGTACGTATAAGGTTGTGTAAGACATTGACTGTAATGGTTATTAGTA